CACGAACCCCCATATCATTCCTAATCTCCATTGGAGGACAATTCTCGTTCACAATGTATTTGATTTCTATAATTTTATCCGATGTATCAATCGATAATTGTTCTGCAATTGTAGAACTGAGAATTCCGTAGTTTGCATTATCATCTACCACAATGGCATCAACTTCAAAATCTCTAAATCTGCCATAGTTATCCCAATTACCATTCGATTTCAGCATTATTGGGATTTTTGACATGATTTCGTGTAGTTGATAGGAAAAAAGACAAAGAAGAGATATAGTTTCTACAATTTGAATACTGATATCGACGAAGAGCAATTTTGTACAATTTGAGACGAAGAACAGATATAGTCTCTCTTCAGTAATTGTACAATTTGATTGCGTTTTTTGTGAAATCTCTTTCTGTTGAGGAAGGAGAGAATTACGCAACTAGTGCCTTCATCAGGAATGAAAATCGCCTTCATTTCAAAATTGGAATAAAATCCTTGACAGAATCACATCAGATTTGGTGCCTTCATTTTAGGGCTTTTTTAATGGCAAAATCTACCTATTTTTGGATTGGTATATAATTTGTAGTAAAAGTGTGGACTATATGGGTAAATAACAAATTATGAACATTTTTGGTAATAATGTTTGATATATGGTATAGATAGGTAAAAATCCCTTATCAGAATCTCCATTTTGAATTTCAATTTGTAAGCCCAAATATCTTTAAGCCCGTTTACTTTCTCACCCAAAGTTATATTGGTTTCAGACCTTTTTAGCCCACCAATTGTATTTATGACCAAAACCCTAGACCCTTGTCCCCAGAGCTCAGGAGTGTCTCTCCACCTCTTTTCGAGTTCTTCCATTTGCTGTAAGTTCTTTCTGTGTCTTATTTCTCCGTTGATTTTTTGTGGCTGAAATTAAGGAAACCTTAATAATTGTGGTTTTCCTTTTTTTTATTTTATATTTACTGCTTAATTTGCAGTGTTAATTAGCTTCTCTCGTGATAATGGCTGAAAACAGAAATCCTTACAAATTTGGAGTGAAACAAAGGAAAAAGAAAACAAAGAAAATCTACGGGTTTGTTAAAAGAAAAGATTTCGTTACAAAGAAGTTGTTATTGTTGTATAGCTAGTGTCAGTTCCTGGGTTGAAATTTGGCAAGTTCAACTTTTTGTTCTTGTATTGTTAGTGTTCAGTTGTAAAGTCAAAACATCTAGTTAAGTTTTAGTGGCTAAACAATGGCTTCTTCAAATTATACCCTCTTCATAAATAACAATATGTAAGACAAGTTTAATTTGAATTCAGTGTATCTGAATTTGTCAAGTCTTATATTTGTACTCGACCTTCGTCAACCCTCATCCTTTATTTGAGCTTCACATAGAATGTGTAGCACAAATAGAAAGAGTTAGTTAATATCTCTAATATTGTCCTTTTCTGTTCTCACCAGAAAGTGTGAGATTATGATGGTTGCGGATGAATTGGGCATGAGGAACCCAGAGCATGAGGATTACGAGCCAGAAACAGAATCAGAAGAAGATGATGAGCAAGTTGTAAAGTTGGCTGAACCTTCAAAGAATGTTGTATATAACTGGGATGGTTTATTTGACAAGCTGAGAGATATCGGTTTGCCTGATGGTTTGGATTGGAGTCACAGGCTTAACATCGACAAGGAGGAGGAGCAAGAAGTGGTGGATGTGAATGATGATTGTGCAAGGGATCTCTCTTTCTACATGCAGGCGTTGGAGGGTGTATGCCGAGCCTTTCTCAACTTTCAGTCAAAGGGTGAACCTTTTCTGAGACCCTGTGATTATTATGGGGAAATGGTGAAGCCTGATACTCACATGGAGAAAGTTAAGGGCAGACTCTTGACTGAGATGAGGAAGATACAGGAGGATGCGGAGAGGAGGAAGGCCAGAGAGAACAAGAAACTGGCCAAGGAAGTACAGGCACAGAAGATGAAAGAAAGGGCTAAGCTGAAGAAGCAGGAAATTGAGTCTGTTAAAAAGTGGATGAAGAAGAGGCAGCAGAGTGGCTTCGATAAAGAGGGTGCTGGCGGCCTAGATTTGGCTATTGATGAAGATGGGACTAAACCCTTTCAGAGGTCAAATAAGAATAGACCTGGTGTATCTCCTGGAGATCGTTCAGGAGGAAAGGCGACATTTGGTGGAAAAGGGAAGGGTCCAGACAAAAAGAGGAAAAGCAGGGAATTCAGGGACTCCAAGTTTGGATTTGGTGGGAGAAAAGGTTTGAAAAAGCAGAATTCTGCTGAAACTACCAATGATTTCAGAGGATTCCACAAGTGATGATTCTGCTTATTACCTTCTAGTCTTTGTTGCAGTAGGCTAATGTTAATCCTTTGTGGTGTGGATGAAATTAATGTTTAATTTAGAGCTTTTTCCTGTCAAAAAGAATGAATTATTGACTCTTATCGTTAAGATGTTTGCTAATTGATGCCTATTTTTGCCTGGATTTGGAATTTAATCATGTCTTAGCTTGTCTTTATTTTAGCATAGAATACTGTACAGAATAGTAACTTCTCCGTTGGATAGTAGTCTGTTTTTCTATGTCATCTCATTTGTTTTCTTTTTTCAGTCTGCAGAAGTTCCTAGTTCTCTCTGTCTCAGACTCTCAAAGACTATGATTATATCATTATTGCATTCACATTAGTTCTAGCTTTCAGTAAATTTCCGGCTAAAAATTGATGAAACCATGACTTTTTGGTCATCTGATACTTATTTTATCATGAAATCATGACCAGTGAGTTTTAAGAGGATGAGAAACTGCCCCCTGAGCTCCATCCACGTTTAGTTTATAGTGTCCTCCCCTTGGAGGATACAACTTCACTTGTGTTGTGGTTATTTTCTTAGTTTTCCGATATCTTTCTGTTGGTAGAGTAAATTCAGTAGTTCCCACAATAGTGTTTTTTTTTTTTTTTTTTTTTTTGGCTGAGATAGGGATCTTTTATCTATTAAAATAATCTTAGTTTTGAGTTAAATGAACAATAAGCTCGTACTATGTACTAATATAATTATGAAAGTGTCATTTTCTGCATTCAGAAAATCAGATCATGCGGAATGAGGAGATAACAAACGTAGAAGTGTCTCCTTATTCCCCAGTCTCACGATATTTCGATTTTGAGGTAGATAGAGCATACTCATTAGGCATTGCGATTAAGCAAAGGATCTCATGGATCAGAAATACCTCTGCCTTCTAATAGAAAGGGATGGAATAACTTCGTAAAAATAGCACGGTATAACCAGTTTTCGGACTGGTCATTCAAAAATAGTCAACGTTTACGAAGTCAATGAAAAATAGCCTCTATTTTGCTGCAACAGAGACCGGTCCAGCATAATATACTGGAGTTCGGTGCACCTGTGTATGAACTCCAGCATATTATGCTGGACCGGTATACTTTGTTGATTCCAGTATAATATACTGGAGACTGGAGCGCCGGTGCTTCAAACTCCAGTATATTATACTAGACAATTATACTTGCTGGAACTCCAGTATATTATGCTGGAGTTCTAGTGTACTTATGCTAGAACTCCATCATACTTATCCTGGAACTCCAGTATAATATGTTGGCGTATTTTCCGGGTTTTGAACAGTGTTTTCACTCAGATTTATCTTTACATGAAAAGTGGCTAAATTTCGATTACTTTTAAAACTAGACTATTTTTAAACGACCATTTGTAAATCTGGCTATTTTTGAATTTCTCCCAATAACTTCCGGAGTTCAGATGTAACTAAGCAATATTATTGGTGGATTTTACCTTTAGTGGATCGGATCGGGTGTATTGGCAGGTTTCCATATTTTGTTTGGGTGTTAATTATTTTAGGGTCATTTGCATCCATACTCGCTTTTTGGGTCACGTTTTAACTTGTACCCGCTTTGCAAAAAAAGATACAAGCGTACCCATTTTTTCGCGTAACTTTAGCATACGAGCCTGAAGTAGCAAAGACAATCATGCAAACTTCAGCATTCTTGTAGACGGGCCTGAAGTAGCAAAAATTGTTGAACCAAGTATGCTGAAGATTTTGTTTGTAATTGTTGAACTTAAGCATTCTAGTGCTGAAGTTTTGTTCTCTATTGCTGGGTGAAGTTTTGTTCTCTATTGCTGGCTGAAGTTTTGTTCTCTATTTGCTGAAGTTTTTATTTGTAATTGCTAAACTTAAGCATTCTACAAGCTAAAATTTTGTGATGCTGAAGTTATTTAGTTCATTTGTAAAAACTTCATCACTAAATAAGCTGAAGTTTTTTGTCCTGGATTCATTAGTTTTGGTAAAAATTGCATGGGGCGTCCTATTTGGTCACCTTCATTTAACTTGTACCCATTTTTTTAAAAAGTTTTAACTTGTAACCATTTTTTAAACAACTTCAACCCCCTTTCTCTTCCTCCTTCTCCTCCTTCGTTTCTTCTTCTTCTTCTTCTTCTTCTTCTTCTTCTTCTTCTTCTTCTTCTTCTTCTTCTTCTTCTTCTTCTTCTTCTTCTTCTTCTTCTTCTTCTGCTGCTGCTGCTGCTGTTAGTGCTGCTATGAAACTTCAGTTCATGGGATGATTGTCATAAGTATGTTTATCAAATTATTTAAAAATAAATTATAAATAATTACGTAAGTTAGTAGACAATAATTTGTGAATATTTCCACGTACGGGGAGTTTAAGGTCACATTTAGTGATTCTTTTCATGATAATTCTGTTTTTTTCACGTTTATTGTTTTCAAAATTTATGATTTAGATATTGTTGGCAATCTGATTATTTATCCAGTATATTAGAAAGCTTTTTCAAAAACTTCAGCTTATATAGTGCTGAAATTTTTACAAATGAACTAAATAACTTCAGCATCTTCTGCTGAAGTTTTTGAAAAAGCTTAATGACAAAACTAATGCATCTAGGACAAAAAAAACTTCAGCTTATTTAGTGCTGAAGTTTTTATAAATGAACTAAATAACTTCAACATCTTCTGTTGAAGTTTTTGAAAAAGCTTAATGACAAAACTAATGCATCTAGGACAAAAAAAACTTCAGCTTATTTAGTGCTGGAGCTTTTATAAATGAACTAAATAACTTCAGCATCTTCTGCTGAAGTTTTTGAAAAAGCTTAATGACAAAACTAATGAATCCAGAACAAAAAAATTTCAGCTTATTTAGTTATGAAATTCAGCTACTATGCTTAAGTTCAATTACAAACAAAAGTTTCAGCAAATAGAGAACAAAACTTCAGCTACTATGATAAAAACTTCGGCAAATAGAGAACAAAACTTCAGCTACTATGCTTAAGTTCAGCAATTACAAACAAAAACTTCAGCACACTTGGTTCCGCAATTTTTGCTACTTCAGGCCCGTCTACTAGAATGTTGAAGTTTTGCGTGATTGTCTTTGCTACTTCAGCCCCGTATGCTGAAGTTACGCGAAAAAGTGGGTACGCTTGTAATTTTTTTTGCAAAACGGGTACAAGTTAAAACGTGACCCAAAAAGCGAGTATAGATGCAAATACCCCTTAGTTTTGTCATAAAGCTTTTTCAAAAATTTCAGCAGAAGATGCTGAAGTTATTTAGTTCATTTGTAAAAACTTCATTACTAAATAAGCTGAAATTTTTTTGTCCTGGATTCATTAGTTTTGTCATAATCAGACTACTATAAAATAATCAGATTGTCAACAGTATCTAAATTATAAAATTTTGGAAACAATAAATGTAAAAAGAACAGAATTATCATGAAAAGAATCACGAACTTAAACTTCTCGTACGTGGAAATATTCACAAAGTATTGTCTACTAACTTACGTAATTATTTATAATTTGTTTTTAAATAATCTGATAAACATACTTATGGCATGACAATCATCCCATAAACTAAAGTTTCATAGCAGCAACAACAGAAGAAGGAGGAGGAGGAGGACGGCTAGCCATAATATGTATATTATACATTAATATACATAAAATATACATTTACATGGTATTATTTTTTAGAGCGACTATATTATGTAATTTTTTCATTATTTCATTTGGACACATTTAAGACCACAAGGTTAATAAAAAATTAGCTCGATACACAAAGCATCTCACGTTCACGCAGGTGCCGGAAAAGGATCGCATCCCAAGCGGTGTGATGTAGACAGCCTACCTAAGAAGTTTAAGACCACAATTTTAATTCTCTTAATAAAAAACACGTTTATAACCACACAATTAATATGACATATTTAAGACCACAAGTTTCAAAGTTTTGTATTCACATAAATATTATGGCATACATACAAGGCAACAAAATTTTAAATTCTTCCATTTTATATGAAATGTTAAGTCAAAGGATAAACAAACTGAAATATTCTTATATGAATTTGGTTTATTTGAAATATATAAACTATATATTTAATTAGAAGATTACAATTAATTTAGTCAAAGGCATGAAAATGTCGTCCCCATTCTCTTAATGTTGCTGTGATGAAACCTCCCTAAGGCTGTTCGCTCAAGAAATTTTTGCTAGAGTAAGAGTCCAGTGCCACAAAAATAAAATAAAATTTCTGTTTTTTTAACGAGAAAGGGCGGCGATGTTGGATGATCATGATTGATGATAATGATAATGATGAAGACGAAGACGACAACAATGTTAATTCTCTTAAGAAAAGGGATACTAGCAAGTTCCTAGAAGAAAACAAAGAATACTCGAGGAACTTTATCAGAGATGAAATAGATCTGATTTAATTGTTTCAGGTAGTCGTCAAATTGACATAAGCAGAGAAAGCTGAATTAAGATGCAAGCAAAAAATTGAACTATTTGGAGGAATCGTCAAAATGACGGAGTTAGCAGTCCTAGTTAAGTTGCTTTAGAACTGCAAGACCATAATTTATTTACTCTAGTGTTTAGCTAGATGTTGTCATGTTTAGTACCATGACTTAAAAAGTCATTTATTTCTGCCTCTTAATTTGTTTCGAGTACCTTATTTGTTTTACATTCTGAATTATCACTCCATATTCTCTTACATTCTGATAAGCACAAGCACATACAAAATTCACTTCATGACCCTCTTTAACTTCAACAACACAGATTGCAGCTTTCCAGGCAATGTACTCTTTATGAAAAAAAATTCATCTGCATTACAGTACAGTATCTGATAGTCGGGTAGTTATTCACAGGTGTAGTTTCCTGCCAGAAACAAAAATCAAATGCAAATTAGAGATAAATCCCAGTGAATAATGTTGTCAAGAGATCACTGCACAACTTTTCATCCATAATTTCTCAAAGATCCTTATGTTATATTGATGGGTTAAAAGATGCCCTGTATTATCGCATTCATTTATTCGAACAAGAACAAAGCAAAACTCCAAAGGGAATCTAGTTACCAAAAAATATTTCTTGTAAAAAAAAGAAGAGAGAGAACGAAAAAGAGTTAATGCTCATCAAAACCACCAATATTTTGATTCAATAAGAGGCTGGTCTATTAATATATGTTCCTTTCAGCAGCTATTAAGCCTATCACAAGCCAGCTTACAAATGCATATATATATAACCTATGAGCTCAGCAGGATAAACGTTCTCCTTTGACATACTCTCTGCTTCTGTAACTAAGACAACATACATACAAACAATACCTCTCCCCCACCCCCGGCCAAGGAGAACGGAAAAACAGCCTATACTTACGATTTGCTGAACAGAAAATTATATCCTTTTTGTACCACTGTGTACCTTACGCCAAACATGAACATCAGAAGTGCATATTTAACATAACATGATTCCCCTGCTACATATTTCTATTTGGTCCAAGGTGCACAGATGAGTATGATATCATAGTAATAAAGTTCTCTCCTGGAAGCTGCTTAATGAAAGATTTTTTGACGTCAGCTTTTATGAACGATATCACTATTCATTAATATCTTCATTGCATCTCTCCGGGAAGCTGCTTTTTCATTCTAGGATTCTGAACTTTATGAGGGAATCACCTCTTATATATTATCCACAAAAATAAGACATCTTTAAAATCCAAAGCCTTTGCCCCCAAGGCTTTGGCCTAGAGGTAAAAGTGCAGTGCGTGATGTGTGGGTTAGGCGCATATCACGCGTTCGAGCTCTACCAAAGACAAAAGCTTGGTATTTAAGTGGAAAAGGGTCAAAGAGGCGGGCACATCATCCACCGAGTTTCAAACCTTGAGCTATTTGCCCTTGGGGAGTTCTCGGTTATCAAAAAAGGTTCAAAGCCTTACAAACATGCAATCTAGTTATCACTTACCAATTCGGGTGAAGCTTTTTCACTAGACATGGAGATAATGGACTTCATTTTCCTTACAGAATAAGTATATTAACTATTCAAGTTTGTGTCGGATTTCAATTTGATGTGACACATCACACCATACTTGAAACAGTTCCAAGCAATTCAACTTTTTATACTAGAATACGGTCTGTAAATAATTATAACTTTAGCATCAGTGTTGTATGCTCCAAAGTGTCCAGAAAAGGAAATAGCGAGCAAGTAACAGGAAAGAGGGAAGAAAACAGATGCAAGACAAACAACCGGTCGAAAAGAGAGAAGTTGTTGTAGCTGAAATTACTGTCCACTCGGAGAAATCAATCATAAAAGGAATTTAGGATTTTGCAGAGAAAATGTGAGCTAGCCAAGCCTATTACGTTAGATTTGGGCGATTCCAAAATCTAAAGATAGAACTATGGCTCCAAACATCTTTCTAATTGTAAGATATCAGATTCATCAGTTTTTGAAGGAAATGGCTTAGTACATTGTAATTGTAAAGATTACAAGATCTGACTGAAAATGGTAAATAGCCTTGTCGATTAGTTCTCATGTCCTTCCTAGTAAAACATTGCGTGTTAGAACTTAAATCATTTTATACCGAGAAAGCAGGACCACCATATAAGCCTAAGTACTCTTCCATATCTTATAATGTACATACACGACGGGGATTGAAAAGACCATATTTAGAGTGATAGAACCTATGATGCAACCAGAACAGTCAATCCACCAGCGGAGCTTACATCCTTTACTTTGTGTAAAGTGTGTTCTGATGGCGTACCAATCAAGATGAGATAAAGCTATTTTTCGCAAAATCTACATAAATAGGGTGTATGAAATCAATGGCCCGAGCCAGAGCACTCAATGGTCTAGGGTGACCACTTTCACTTAGGTGAAACAATACGTTAAAATAGAAGTAACTAGGGAAAACAAAAAGATAAATTTTATTTTCAAAACTCCACACGCATACCCAATCCAAACTTAGGTGAAACAATACGTTAAAAGGGAAGTAACTGGCCGCACAAACACAACTTCCACTCCCTTTCCCCTCATTAGTTTTTATCAGTTTCACATCTAACAGCTTCAGAACAACTTCAAATGGCAGACAATCAAGGGCATCAGCAGCCCAAAAAAATGAAAGACAATAAACCGAAAGAGATTATAGTTCATACAAGTCACTAGGTCAAATTCGGCACTGCATGTGGTGTCCCGCCTCAGAGAAATAATAGAATAAAAGCGAGCAAGGTAAAATGAATTTCACAAATGATAAACAACGCACTCATAGATCAAGATAAATAGTACTACAAGATTATCAAAGAGAATGATGAATCCTTTTACCTGTATAATTCATACTTCTGGCAAAGAACCACTAACGCAAGTACTAGCTCAAATGTCAGACATTTGATGATGTCCTGGATTCCACGAACCAATTTGAAGGTATGCCGGGATCAGGGGTTGGACAAGGAAACGTATCTTCATGCACATCTGACACAGGCTCAGAGCATTTATTCCTTTTGCTGTACTTTAACAAACAGCGGTCCTCCTGCGCATTGCAGCTTTCGGCCTGCATTGTATTTTTTGCACAAATCTCACCAACAGTATTATCTCCATCAGAACTCAAGGGGCACAAGGTGATAGAATCCACCAAATGCAGGTTATGCTGTGAACCTTCTCGTTGAGAAACTTGAAGACCACAAAAATCTCTACAGTCATCACCAAGATTGTGCCCTGCTTTAATAAGGTCAGATAAACCAACCATTTCTTCGGACATCTTCCTCTTTAGTCTGCTCCGCTTGTAAGTAAGTAACTCAGCTTTTGAACAATCAGAATCAACACAAGAACCATGCTCCTTCATTGTAACACAAGGTGGGGCCTCTGAACTAGTCTGGCCGACTTTTTCCTTCAACCTAGTGCGAGAGTACACCATAACACAAGGAGGGCCATCTGAAGTAGTCTGGCCGACTTTTTCCCTCAACCTAGTGCGAGAGTACACCATAACACAAGGAGGGCCATCTGAAGTAGTCTGGCCGACTTTTTCCCTCAACCTAGTGCGAGAGTACACCATAACACAAGGCAGGGTCTCTGAAATAGTCCGGCCAACTTTCCCCTTTAATCTAGTGCGAGAGTACACTATAACACAAGGCTGGGTCTCTGAACTAGTCTGGCCAACTTTTCCCTTTAACCTAGTGCGAGTGTACACCTTAAGCCTCTCACCTGGATCATTAGAGAGAGTTTGGCCTAACTCTAACAATTTACGGGACACATTACTTGATTCCAGCATTTCTGGAGTATCCACATAGCTGGAATTCGCAGGGCATAAGGTTCTTGAAGTTCGTGGCGAGCTGTTCATGGCGCGATGCAATTGAAATGCCAACTCTGCGTCATTTACAACCTCAGTTTCATTAGTATCATCACTCCTTATACTACTGCTTTTCAGCAACACTTTATCCTTATTCTTCTTGGAAGCAACTAATTCCGATGCATTCTTAGCCATGTTCACGGCATTTTTTGCCACGACAGCCTTTCGCCAAGTCTTATACTGCGCTTCCAGCGCCAGTACAACTGTCCTTTTGGCTTCAAAGTTAGTAATTTCTTCAAATGATTTAACATAACTACTAGTATAATTTTGTGTCTTTAACACATGCTTTTTACAAACTCCAATTGATTTCCTAAAGAATGTTGGAACCCAACAATCTATACAGACCGAAAATCCCGACTTTACCCCTTCTTCTTCTTCTTCTTCTTCTTCTTCTTCTTCTTCTTCTTCTTCTTCTTGTTCCCTAGAAGAATAAGACCAAGGTGCAGAATTCCCATACCTGATAACACAGTCCTTGTGGACACGCCTTTTGCAGCTGCTGCATTTGAAACAATCAGAAACAGCCGTGTTGTTGAAACAGTAAGGGCATGTTTGGCCGGAATTAACACTCCTGATGCACTTCTTGCAAAGAAGGACTATCCGCCAAACGCTGTCTAGGGTTTGAAGGCGGTCGCTGGGATCAGTGTGGTTGATTCGGAGACGGCAGCCGTGACAATCTGACAAATTGGCCAAGTCCCTCGTGACCCTTTTGGGCAATTGATCAAACGCCGATGATGATGAAGAAGTGGAATTTGTGGAGTGAATTGGAGCTAAATTTTTAGGGTTTGTTGAAGGATTAGCAGTGGAAGATGGTGGTGGAGGTGGAGGTGGCGGTGGCGGTGGCGGTGGCGGTGGACGCGGCGGAGGATGGCGAAAAGATTGTCTGTTTTCTGGATGGAGCGAAGGTGTCATCTTCATGAGATCGTTAGGTTTTTGCGCCATAACCGTATTTTCTCATCGTTTCGAGTGGTGGGTTCACATAAACTGGCCGGAGACGGTACTAACTCATCGTTTGAATACATCATCATTTTAACTCTGTTGGGTGTTGGTTTAGTTAAAAAAAAAAAAAGGAAATTCAAATATCATTTCATGAATAGTATAAGTTACTTATAAAATTAGTATTTTCGATTACATGTTTATAAGAGTACTGAAGAGCAAATATTTCCTAATAATTCAGTCCTCAATGCCTTAGATCATCCAAATGCTAGATATGATGACGTATATTCTGGGGGTTTGAATTGTTGATTAAGTGATTGAAGTGGAGGGTCATAAAAGTGTAAAAGTATACAAGGATCTTTGGATTATTTTATTCCTAATGTAGCTCAAGTGCAGAAGGATATGAATTTGAAGGTTTATGAATTAATTAATAAGAATGTGCACACAAGGAAAATACAAGAGTTATAACATAGGCTTTTTGATCCGGAAGGAAGATGTTAATGACTGGAACAGAAGATAGATTAATATGACATTATACAAAATCTAAGAACTATGTATAAGGTAAAATTGGAATGCTATATTAGGAAATGACATTATTTTTTATTGTTTTTGTATTTTCAAATTTTTGTTTTTTCGCTTTCTGCACCACTCAGCCCACCTCACTGCCCCCCGCCCCTACTCCGCACAAAAAAAATTCAGTTTTAGTTTTTTCATCTTTCGGTTTACAAGTTTGAAATTTTACAAGTTTCAAGGTTGTGAGTTCGGAGGTTTATATATTTGGAAGTTTACGGATAATTAGAAATTATAAAGTTTACAAGTTCGAAAGTTCGTGGTTTCGAAAGTTTAGCGATTCGAAAGTTTATGAAATTTGTGAGTTCGGAAGGTTGTTGGTTCGAAAGATTATGACTTCATGTTTATTGTATTTAAATTATTTATGAACAATTTTGAGAAGAGATAAAGAATCAAGAAATGAAGCTAAAAAAAATACTCTTGAGAAGTTATTTTCCTTAATTTGCGTACCAAACACCGGAAAATGAATAAGATTACCACTTGTTTTCCAAGAAAACATTTTCTTGCAAATATTTTCAACAAAAAACATTTTCCATTATACTAAATACATCCTGAAACTTCTAATTTAAGGCACTAAAAATGGATTGCACATAAATTATAAACAAACCTTATTTTGAACGGGTAATATACAAAATTATGATAATATTAATAAATAAGTTTCAAATATTGTATAGTAACGAAAAAAACCCATGTAAAACCTACATGTTGATGCCCACGATTTCGATAGTCATACCAGTAATTTTGAAGATATCTCTCGAAACGTATTTAGTGCATCATCTTCTTCGGCTGAGCATCATGTATTTCCATTTTTCTAATAATGAAGCCTAATTAAGTGATCCAACTCGTATTGGGCCTAGCGCCTAAGTGGTTTGGCAAATACTAGGCTAAGAATTATTAAATGGTGATAGTAGGCAGGGGTTTTGAGGAAGGAATTTTTACCTTCCTATACCACATAGGAAACCTTATCACTCTCAATGTTTAAGGTTTGATTTAATTATAAACTCGTATACCAAATTATCAATCCTATACCATACTTAATTAAGGGTCTAATTAATGAGCAGTTTTTACTCCTTAATTAAAGGTATCCATATATCCCACGTTTCCCTCTCCCCTTAATTCCTAAGATCTGACCAGCGTCGTTTTCCCCCTCCCATTTCTTTCTTTTCTACATTTCTTCTTCTTCTCAAAAAATACAGAGATGAGACCCATTGAATATAATCAGATTTTTAGCCAAATAGATTCAATATGAAACCCATTGTTTCGGTTATTGTAATTTCTGATAATTGTCAGATATTGTTCTGAATTTTAACAACTACGAGATCGAGAGTAGATGTATGACACAGAGGACTTCCTCAATCGATCAATCAACTCAACAATTCTCAATTGTAAATTTGTGGGGTAGCCATATGAATCTTCTGTAACCTCCGGCTCCATTTTGTCTATATTATTTTAATATTAAATAAATTGTCTTTTTAGGCAATTTAGAGGTTCTTTAAAGGTAGAGATTGTTCAAGTGTCACACTTATCCGGCATTGACACACAAGTTCTTGACCAAATTAGAAAAAAACTTAGGTTAACAAACATATGACCCAATATAAGTGTGACATTGTGGGTGCAATTGTAGTTTCTTTGTAGTTTTTTGTAGAAATTTTGTAGATGAAGAGCAAATTTTGTTGTCAACATTTTTTTTCACATAAGATTGTAGTTTAATTGTAGTATAAATGTAGTAATTTTGTAGATACCCTTAAAAACAATACAACTTTATACAATACTTAAACTGATTTGTAGTTTATTTGTAGAAATTTTGTAGATAAAGAGAAAATTTTGTAGTCAATATTTTTTTTCAACATAGATTGTAGTGTAATTGTAGTATAAATGTAGTAATTTTGTAGATACCCTTCAAAACAATACTGCTTTATACATACGTAAACTGATTTGTAGTTTCTTTGTAGATTTTTTGTAGAAAATTTGTAGATTAGGAGAAAATTTTGTAGTCAACATTTTTTTTCAATATAGATTGCAGTTTAATTGTAGTATAAATATAATAATTTGTAGATACCATTAAAACAATATTGCTTTATACATACTTAACTGATTTGTAGTTTATTTGTAAATTTTTTGTAGAAAATTTGTTGACCCAAGCGCATCAACTCACTCCCGTTAAGAACAAGAGCTCCTCCCTTCGAATAGTTGACGAAAACAGAGCCTTGCATATTTAAATATGCTCAGCCATTCCTAAAAGAAAAAAGAGGAGAACCAAATCAAAAAGACCCTGAGCTTTAGAAAGGGAAGACTGGTATATACTTAGAGAAACAGAAATACGTGAAAAATGAGGAAAGAGAAGCCTGCAGAAAAAGGAGAAAACAAATCTAATGTGAATATGAAAAAATATTTAGTCCCAAATTTTTAGGCGCCTAATTTGGAAGGAATAAGCTATTCAAATATTTATCCCAGATTTGTAAGCGCCTAATTTGGAAGGAATCAGCTCTTAATATTGGGTATTTAATAAATGGTATAAATTTTGTATGAAAAATATAAATATAGCGGATAATAATGAAAATATGCACATTTTTAGTAATAAGGTTTCATATATGGTATAGATAGGAAAAATTCCCTTTGAGGAATTCCCCGTGTTTTTTTCAAATTCAGAATGAATTACAACTCCGTTGTATAGTTATTGGGCCATTGGTCTTGTAGCGTTAAAGTTGCAGAAGAACAACAAAAAAAGTATGGCCAAACTTTAGACATGATGAGCTAAAGTTGTCCGAAAGGGCTAGAATAAATTTTTAGTGCATGGATTGTCTTTGTAAATTAGAGATAGAATATAAAGAGTAACCTCAAAAGAGGCTACTTGTGCACTTCAGCCCCTAATCAGTACATATGTACTAGGGGTGTTCATTAAAACCCGAAAAATCGAACTAAATCGATCAAAAAAATTGATATTTTTTGGTTTGGTTTGGTTTTGTTTTGGTTTTAATAAAAAAAAATCGAACCAAAACGACTATAAGAGTAGCTATTTCAAATTTATTATTACACCTATATATATGCATATTTTTATACAAAGTTTCAAAAAAATTATGGTAAATGTTAATAGTTTGCATTTTTAATATAGTTCTTTACATTTACATTCTAGTTTGATTTGTAGTTTTCTTTTGTTTAGTGTAAGAATTTATTTTGTGTTAAAAATAATATATTTTTAATTGAGTCCTTAAACTATCCATCACTATTTGATTCAATTATCATCAATATATCTTGTTAAATAATAGATTTCTCAAAGGGCAATTAATTTAATAGTGTTACATTAAAAATGTGGTCGCCGAAATATGTGTTTGGTGGTGTATGTCTTATATTTAAGAAAAAACCGACAAATAACCGAAAAAACCGAAAAACCGACATAAACCGAATCGAGAAAACCGACTTAATTAGTTTGGTTTGGTTCTACTATTTGAAAAATCGACTTACTTGGTTTGGTTTCTTTTTAGGAAAAAACCGATCCAAACCGAACTATGAACACCCTATATATCTAACGTTCACCATGTCCATATCCCACACAACTTTAGCTTATTCTAGGTTCAACCGCAGCTGGACAGACTCTCTAGAATTCTCCGTTGGCGGCTCAACTTTACTCCGTAGACAGTGGTGTCATTTACGAAGGGATCTTGGCGTAGCTGGTAAAGTTGATGTTATGTGATCAAGAGGTCACAAGTTCGAACCGTGGAAACAATCTCTTGCAAAAATGCAGTGTAAGGCTACGTACGATAGACCCTTATGGTCCAATCCTTCTCTGAATATCGCGCACAGAGGGAGCTTAGTACACCGACTGCCTTTTACTGTGGTGTCATTTATGGAGCCCCGTTAATGGGTCTACGCTTACGGCCCACACACATGTCTATCATGTGTCTAGGATTTGGCCGTAATGTGGATGGAAAAAAATACAGTGACACAACCAATTAAATCAACGTATATTTCTAAAGCAGGTAATTCAAGTTGATACCAAGGAATACAAAAAGAATCTTGTTGTAACTTTTATTTTTTAGAAACTGAAATATTTTATTCGTATAGACTACGTAACGTCCATTACAAGATTCAGAAGATCATTACAAAAGGATGAAAGGCCATATAAGGCCGTTACTTTCACAAATAGATTTATTTCTAAGAGAAAAACCCTCCTTGTCCTCCAGCATCCTAGACTCAACAAAGATAGGGGTTACAACATAACAGACTAAATCATATTGCTTTGGTTGTTTGGCTCCTTCCGGGCTAGCAGTGAGCAATTTCATTTCCTTCTCTAAAGCTATGGCTGATCACTAGCTCCTTGTCCTTCTGGGAGATAAAGTACCTGCAGGATTGCAATAAAAAGTCATAAGAGGTGTTGCCTTCCTTTAAAAGATTAATTACCGGTGTTGAATCAGTTTCTATTTCACGAGGCAATATGTTGTGTTGAGTGATAAATACTAGGATCAAAATTCCGCATGTGTACAATTTAGAGTTTGTACTTTTTCTTAAAATCTCATGATCCATTCTCCTGCGCTATTTCTTATGACTCCTCCCATTCCTGCGTGATTTTGGTAATCTTGTTGTAACTTGGCTCTAATGAGAATATAACATTGTACCTTAGAATACCTGCCATAATATCACCCAC